CAGTAGAAAATGATTTACAAAACATCATTCAAACGCCATAAAATGATTTCTAAAAAATATAATTTGCTTTACTAAATTTATTTTCCAGAATCTATTTTCCGTGAAATTAACAAACCCTAAAATTAAGTTTAAACGGTCTGCATGATTTTCAATATGTGTTTGATTCTGATTCAATTTTAATAATATATTCAATATGGTTTATGTTTAGACTGAATTAAGGGTATTACACAATAACTATTTTTAACAACAGAAAACATTATAAAATTAAAAATAGGTAGGTTTAACACCAAAATAAGTGCCCAAACTATACCTTGAATCTCGAATAGGTGTCTAAATTATTTTTTGACTCATCTAGGTATCTAATGTTATAAACACTACCCATTTAGGTGCCTAGGCCATCAATGACATTAATTTCCTCGTTAAGTGACACGTGTCACAATTCAGTGCTTTTGAAATTTATTTATTTTTAAAATATTATTATATTTATAAAAAAAAACCTTAATTTCTATTAAATTATAAAAAGTCCCAAAAACACCTAAAATCTTCAAATACTATTATTAACCCACTGACGTCGCCCTTTTCGGCCACGACTTTCACCGTTGATATAGTCCCTACATCCTCCTAGTCATATGTCGTCGATTGGTAGTCGAGATCGCGATTTTCATCCTAGAGTTCGTGGGGTATAAAACCTCGATTCATCGTCGATCAGTCATGATTTCATGGGGGTTTTTGGTTGTCGAGGGAGATGAGGTCAGATGGAGCTTCGTTAACGATAAAGGGAGACGATCGACGTGGGTTTAGGGGTTGATATGAAGGTTTTCAAAATTTTGGGTTATTTCAAAATATTTATGTATTTCTTTTAAAAATATATAATTTAATAAAAAAGTAAAAGCATCAGATTGTGACACGTGTCGCTTAACGTGAAAATTAACGTTATTGACGACCTGAGCACCTAAATGGCTAACGTTTATAACGTTAGATACCTGGATGAGTCAAAAAATAGTTTAGACACCTATTAAAAAAAGATATAATTTTTGCACTTATTTTGGTATTAAACCAAATAGGTATTGAAAAATAGAGGTCGGTTATCTAAATTGAAATAACCATATTTTACATATGATATCCGTTAGTTATACCTAATCAGCTAACATTATTTGACCTAATAAAATATTCCGGCGTGCTAGGGTGAAGGGGAAAAAAACTTTAATGTTCATGTTTAACGAGTGGATTTGTCGAATGATTTATTTATATTTTGCTTTGACCTAACATTATTAGTAAGGGTAAATTATACGTTTAGTAAGTCAACTATCAACTTTCTTTTATTTTGATCATTCAAATTTTCTTTTAAAATCATACTAATATTACGTTTTGGTTTCATTTTGATCACAACATTAAGTTAACTATATGTAACGAAGCAATGAGCGGTTTCCTTTCATGCATGCTCGGTTAACTTCATCCCCAGGGAAGGAAACATTGTGGCTCACTGCATGGCGGTGGTCTCGGGTACCGACTCAGAGGATTCGTTCTGGTTTGAGGAAGCACCGGATTGTGTGGAGTTAAAGGCTTTGGAGGATAGGAGAGGATGGCTTCGGTTTAAGCTCATCTTCGAAGGATATGCAGTTTTACATAGTCTCTATTTGGTTCTGTCTTCTCTCGCCGGCGATGTCTCAATGCAACTTGTTTTTTGGAGCGAGAAGATGAACGGGCAGCTCTTGGGTGTCACCGTTTTGCTTTCTTAGCTGGATTCCATGAACCCATTTACTTTTGTCTTGGTTGAATAATAAATGAATTGACTGTTTTATTTAAAAAAATGATATATTGTTCATTAATTTAATATAATTTGTCATTCCTTAAACGACAATAATTTGTTTACTTCATAATGATTAAGCGCTAAATGATTCAAATATTAAATGATTCAGAAGTTCTGTATGAATTAGCTCTGAATGTCACATGCTGTTTGATAATGACTCTGAATCATTCAGAATATACTTCTGTGCTGAATCATTCAGCACTGTTTTGCTGAATCAGTTAGCACTGAATCATTTAACACTGTTTTGCTGAATTAATCAGCACTGAATCATTTAGAGGTACGAAACAAATGCGTTGAATGTTGAACGGTTCAGCATTCAGCGCTGAATGATTCCATTAAGAGACAAACAAACAACCTTTAATAACAAAATTAAAAGTTCAATATCTATTTTATATTTTTGAAAAATTAATAACAAAAAAATTATTTCAATATAATTTAGTGAGAGTTTATATACTTAATCCAAAACTCTAGCATAGATATAAATATTTATTAAACTTATAAATTAAATATTAAATTAATTACAAAATTTCAACTTTTAAATAAGAGATGACTATGAACAAATATATTTAAAATCACTATTTTGGATTTACAATAAAAATAATATTTTTATTTAAATTAACATTTAACAAATATTAAAAAATCATTAACATATATAAAATAAATGGTAAAATTTATTAATATACATATTTTTTTGTTTTAAAAAAATAAAAGTTTATTTTTTCCTATAAAAATCTTTGGGAATATGAAATTTAACTTCAAAATTGATAGTAGGTTTAATTCCCAAATAAGAGCCCAAACTAACACTAACCCATCGCTGGCACCATTTCTGGCCATGACTATCACCGTCTAAGTAGTCATTGTCATCATCCTAGTTATATGTCGTCATAGTTGTCGCAGATTCACCATCAGAATCGCGTGAGATCGCAATTTTCATCCTAGGGTTCGCGAGGTATAAAACATCGAATTGTTATCGATTGGTCGTCCTTTGGCCATGATTTCATAAGGGTTTTGGTCGCCGGGGAAGGAGAGGTCGGGTGGAGCTTCTTCGAGGACAAAAGGCAGTGGTTAGCGTGGGTTTATGGGTTAAAATGAAGGTTTTTAAAGTTTTTGAGTTATTTCAAAATTTATGTCTTTTCTTTTTTAAAAAAATTATATAATTTAATTAATTTTTTTAAATTATCATATTGTCACACATGTTACTTAACGGAGGAAATTAATTTCGTTATCTATCCGAGCACCTGAAATGATCACGTTTGTAATATTAGACACCTGAATGAGCTAAAAAATACCATAAGCACCTATTCGACACAAAAGATATAATTTAAACACTTATTTAAGAATTAAGCCTTGATAGTAACTGTTCCAATTATAATTTTTTACTCACCGTACTTTCAATTTCTTTTAATTTACTTACTAACTTTAGAAATTAAATTTTTTTTTGTCATTCTACTATTAAATAATTAATGGCGTGAAAGACGTGGTAAACTGTTAAAGTATTAACCATGAGAGAGTGACATGACTATCTCTTTCTTATTCTTCTTCTTCAAAGATGGTTGACTACCTCTTTCTTCTCCTTCTTCGAGGATGGTTCATAAAACAAACAAAGAATAAAAATGGAACAAAGAAACATATCACGTTCACACAAGTCTGGTTTGGCCACCATCAAAACCAGCAATGATGAAGACATTTTAATCACTACAGACAATTCCAAGAATAAATTACAGCGAGAGAGAAAAAGAAGTCTGGAAATGGCGTTTTATGGTGACTATTCCTCCGGTGCCAAATTCAACGACACATCCAAAGTCATTGCCTCCAACACCATCAACCGTCCTGAGTTGACATCCACGGCATCGAACAACTCTTGATCCCCCAATTCGTACAACAAGATTACAACAATCGTAAAACAGTAGAAGTCTCCGCTTAATGAGTGGAAACTCTCCTTATCTCGATAGGTGGAAGTATACGAGACCAATCATTTTCATCCCGTTAATAGACACCAGATGGTGTTATTCATATGAAGCTAGCTAAAAATTAGGTTTATTGAAATCTCCATTGATTTGCCAGTACAAGTTATTTTATTTGCTTCGTAAGTCTTCTCTAATGGAAACATGTGTTGTTCTTGCTCTTTGAACCTCTATCTTTGGTTTATTGAAAAGTGGCTCATGAAACACTCGAAACCTTCCCTGTGTACTGCTGGAGGTGTAAACAAATTCAATGAGGCAACACCTTTCCAAGATTATCATGGCTTGTCGAGTTCAGAAAATTGTATGTTCTTTTAATGCCCCCAACTTCCCTTCTGTCCTCACTTATTCCCCAATTTAATGCTTCAGACCTACTAAAATCCCCCAAAGCAAAGTAAAAAGGTAAAAGAATTTCATTACAGTCAAAACAGTTCCCCTCAAACGTGTTTACATAGTGCATGTTTCATCAGATTTCTATCATTCAAATAACTTGAAGAACAAACAAAGGGAATAAAAGAAGACCCAAAAAGTTTATCGAAAAGAGATCGAGCTCATCAGTTGTAAGATCCCATTAAATGAAGTATTAAGCAAAGATTGAGTAACTGGAAGAGTCGGATATAAAAAGCTTTACCTTCATCAGCTGTTGCTTGAGAAACAACTAAAAGAAGAATAAAAACAGGAAGCCAAGCCATAGGTAAAAGGAGAAAAAAAAAACACCCTCGAATTTTTCTCATGAAACAAACAGAAGCCAGAGAGAAGAGAGTAAGCTGAGGAAACCGGAACCAACTGGAAACGAGTAGAAAGGGAATGTGGGGCTAACTTGAAAAGAAAGTAAGAGAAAAGGGGAGAGAGAAGACGACTGAGGGAGTGAATGTGAAAAAGAATGAAATAAATATTAATAATAAAAATCCTATTTGGCATATTATAATACTATAATATTCCACGTAATCACACTGTTAATGAGACAACAGTTGAGTGAGTAAAAAAAGTTTAATGTCTAAAGTTTAGTGAGTAATTTGAAAATATTGAAAGTATGATGACTGAAATAGGATAAAAAGTAAAGTTCAGTGAGTATTTGTGTAATTTACCAAACTTTTAATGTTTTCTTCCGCTAATGTACCAAACTACCCTCGCTTTGTTTTGCTTTTTCCTCGTTGTTGCCGTTCCAAAAAGGGGCAAACATATAAATCCCGTCTGTGTCCGTTTCTCACGTCACTTTTCCTCTCATTCTGAAAAAAAAAAAACAGAGGTCCAAGTTTGTTGACGACCAAAAATCATCCTCAAAATCAGACCGTCGATTTCTCGTTTACTCGCTGAATGGACGAATCGTTGTCTTCATCTTCTTCGGACAAGACGGCTGTTCTGGATTCGGCGCTACATCTGTTTGGGTTTCAGATACAAGACTTGTCGCCGACAAAAGTCACCGGTCTCCTCCGTGTGACTCAAAAGTGCTGTCAGGTTCCGATTACGCGGTTTCTGTTTGTTTTTTGTTTTTGTTTTTGGATTAATAATCTTGTGAATTGTATTGGGAGAACAGCCGTTTAAGGTGTTGCACGGCGGAGTATCGGCTCTAATAGCGGAGTCGCTGGCCAGCATGGGGGCGCACATTGCCGGCGGTTTCAAAAGAGTGGCGGGGATCCACCTTAGCATCAACCACTTAAAGCGCGCGGAACTCGGCGAACTTATCTTTGCCGAAGCTACCCCCGTTAATCTCGGAAGGACCATTCAGGTGAGCTATAAAAATATTTTTTTATAAATCACATATGGTAAAATTTGAGCGGACATTAAAGTTTTGAAAATCATTTTATTTATTTATATCAATTCATTTACCTACCGCGCCACTGAAATTTTATCATGGGTAAAATTACAATTTTAGTACTTAAACTATCATCTTTGTTTCGTTTTAATACATAAACTTTCATTTGCTTCAAAATTATATTTAATGTTTACCTTTTATTTTATTTTAGTACCCGCAATTACGAATTTAATGGCACTGTATTTTAATAAGTAAAGAACATCATTCATCATTCAGGTATCTGCACACTCTTGTTTTGATCAATAAAGTTTGAAGTTTTTTAATTTATCTACTCAATTTTTAAATTGCTCATGTTTTAATTACTCTAATCTATTTTATTAATAATTTTTGTGACATGACATTTTTTAAATTTTATGAATATATGATTAAAATAAAAAAAATTTGAAAGTTAGGGTGCTTAAATTAGGAGTAATTTAAAAATAAAGTAATTAAATTGAAAAAAAATAAATTTTAGTGACCAAAATTAAAATAATTTGTTTTCAGTTACTGGAAAACATCATTCAATTTGTTTGGATGTCCGATTAAAATGAATTTTTTTAAAAAGATTTATGAGTCGACAAGGTCTTCTGAGTGCATTATCATCGTTTTTTACCCTAAAAATATCATTTTGACTGTTTAATTTTGAATTGCTAGAATTTTATTGGTAATTTTAAATCTTAACTTTTAAAAAAATCATTTTACTCCCTATAATTTTAACTTTCTTTCAATTTAGTATCAAAAACGTAGAAAAGAAAAGAAAAACCAGCATATACCAGCAACTTCATCGAAAGTTGGTTTCATTTGTCGATATTTTTTTAGTACCGTAAAATTCCCTTATTTCTCAATAATTTTTCGAAGCAATATTTTCCTAATTTTTTTTCAATTACAATATTCCACTAGTTTAATCTAAACAAAATGATTAGTATTTGTAATCGACGATAAATATCTTAATTTTTATCGTATAATTTTTATCGGGATACGATAGGTATGGGAGGTGCGACTATGGAAAATCAGGGACTCGAATCGAAGTTCAGAGAGCAATAACAGATCGTTGGTGTCATCGTCGAGAGTTACACTTATGTGCAACATGCCGGTGCCGGAGCATGCTAAGGATGCCGGAGAGAACCTCAAGAAGTATGCCAAGCTGTGAGTATTCTATATTCATGTGAAGGGGTCACTTGTGTTCATATCCATGTATTATATATATGCCCCTTCCATGCTTAAACAACAACTATTAATCTATAAATGTAATATATCCTACCATCTTGTAAAGTAAAATGAATAATTAAATTAATAGGCATCTCTTCGACGATGGATAAACAAAATTTGATTCGAAATAAAAAATCAAATTTAAATTTACGAAATTTGAATAATTAAAAAAAAATCAAAGATAAGAATTGTATAAAGAAAAATGAGAATAAGATTGAATCCAAAAGCATTAAAGCAGAGACTTCCTTGGAGCACAAGCAGTGCCTCTTGTGCAGATTCCTTGTCCGAACTGCGTGCCGTTTGAAGCTCGGTTCCGACTCTTTTTATGTACATCGTGACCAGCTTCATCGAAGCCTGCTTTATCTACAAAATTACAAGGATTATTCGTAACATGGTGAAAGAGGAAGAGCAGTTCGACGTGAAGCCTGCTATGTATTGTAAGCTTACTTTATAAATCATTCCTGAATCGAGCATCCAATCGACCGGAATCTTACACTCCTGTTAAGAACGCATCGCTGAATTTCTCAGCTTGATAAGCCTCTGTATGCTCTTTTCCGACCTAGCACGATTACATGGGTGACCAAACCATTCAGTTTCCTGACTAAATCCCAAATAGGGGAGAATTCAGACTATAAACCAAAGTGCAGTTCATGCAAGCCTTACTTGTCCAGTAGCCCAGCCATCAGCTTCAAGGCAATTCCACACGGAATGCTAGCGTCGTCCTCGTAGGAAGAAATCTCTGTTTCCAACAATTTTAGATCACGATATTCGATAGCAGCTTCTCGCATGGCATCAGCTTTTCTCTCAGGCCACTTGAAATGCTTTAACACGGCACGCTCATCAGCCTGTAGGCAAATAACTCGAATGTCCATCACCAATTTCCTAAAACAGCCTCATTAGCAGATACCTTTGCTTAAAGTTCTTGAAGTCGTGAAGAACTTGTTCATCATCGAAAAGAAATATCTCCTAATTCAACAAACTAGGTTCTGTTTGCAGATTCTTTGATGACAATCAACTAATGGTTGTTATGCAGACTTACATGTGACTCGAGATTCGTTAAGACCGACAATGATTAAGATCAATATCAAAGCAAATAGCATAGGGAGCTTGGAGACTTTACCAAGGATGAAAGTTCTTTGTCGAGCCGATCAACGAATTTCACAACATCTTCTATATCTTTATAGGCTGCAGCCAACACTCGGTCGATGAGGCTGTTGATGAATTCTCCTTTTGTTTCGACATCAGCTTTTATCTAGCAAAAGGGTCATTGATTTTTAACAAACCTACCAGTTCTACATCTCTAATCAAAAGAACATGTGCTTACAGCTAGTAGGTGAGCTGATCGATTCTGAATTTCGCCAACTATGCTACTATGCACACTAACAACGGTCAGTTTTTTCGGATTCCATGCTGCTGCTGCTACTGCTGGGGAATCCATCTTCTTTTCTTTCCTTGTCAACAAGTCCACTACAAGGGACGGAGCCTTCGAAGCTGTGGCTCTTTTAGCAGGAAACCGAGGCGGTGCAGGTGGAGGTGGCAATGGTGGAGGTGGTGGCAGGAGTGAATTATTGGCGCATTTGTCTGTGCTCCAGCATCATTTGGAGTCAAACAAGCACTTGCCCTTAATGGCGCTTTAACTGTTCTTGTCTCCCTTACAACTTTCGGGTGGTCCAATTTGTTGGCAATGAGTTTCTGTATGAATCTGGGGCTCTGGTACTCTCCATTTGACTCTCTCTTCTTTCAATGAATGAAAGTTGTTAGAAATCTTACATTTTCAATAACAAAAACTCAAAAAGGAGAATTTTTCTGATTAATAACTCAAAATAAGTTTGAACTCGAAAGGAATTTGTTCCAAAATGTTGAGTCTTTATCATAATCATACTCATGGAGTTAAATTGCAGCCGTTACATAGCGATAATGGTATCGTCCTAAACCGTTATTTCACATACGCAATCAGGGATTTAAATAGAGATAGCGGTACCGTCCGAAATCATAATTACATGACCGCGACACCCGTAATCACTGCAATAGCATCCTGCCGCCTACTATATCCGCAAATTTAAATCCCTCCTCACAATGACCACAATCACGGTAAACGCAAAGCAACAAAAAAACACGACCGCAGCCGCAATTTAAATCCTTTGTCGTACTATTTATCTAAAGCAAAAAAAAAAAAAAAGCAATCTTGGGTTCATATGCAAATTACAGTACATAATAAGGATCTAACCTGCTGCTGCACCTGGTGAGGGTGAGGGCTTGAAAGAGCAGCTATCTTGGCCTCAGCAGCAGCAAGATCCTCTTTGAGTTTTCTATTAAGAAACTCAAGCTCCTTGCCCCATCCAATTCAGCCCTCAATCCCCATCATCTGAGCCTGCAAATCTCTGACCAAACCCTCACTGCAACTCAGCTTCTCCCTCAGTTCACGAACACCATTCTTCTTCTCCGGTGAGCCCGTGTTCTCTTTAACAACATTGGACCGCCTAGGCTTGTTGTTCATCACCAAACTCTTCCTGCTGGTCTTGGTGCTGTCAGGGGACACACTTTTGGGCCTTGCTGGCTGGTCTTTAACTCCAAAACTCGACATGGGAAAATGGGTGTGATAAGCTTGCAATGGGGTGGTTTTAGACTTGCTTCTGGGGCATCAAGATTTCAACTTCAATGACGTTTTTCTGCATTTTGCTTGATTTTGAAGAAAACCAAGCGGCTGTGTAACTGGGAATGCAAGGAAGAAAAGTAGACTGCTCGACTCATCTCTTTTATCTTCTCTTAACCCAATTTTCGCCAAATACATTGCAAAGCATTGATTAAATGTGTTCCAACTTAATTATCTTGGCCACCGAAAGGATGTTCACTTTGTTAAATGTGTTCCAACTTCTAAATGTTAAATGTTTTAACTTAATATTGGAATCAAGTGTTGGTAATACTAAATCCCACATAGTATTAGAAATACTATTGGAAATGGGTATTTAAGGCTTGGATTTCTCACTTTCTTATTGAGTGAAAGAGAACAAGGGCGACTCTCGCGCACCGCCGCCGTCCATCCCGTCGTGGTCGTACGTGTCTTCGACACGTCCACGCGGATACTATCTTTTTAGAGAAAATTCTTAAGAAACAAATGCATTGCGATTTTGGAGCATCGCGTTGCGAATCTTAAATCGCGTTGCGAATTTCGACTTTCGCATTGCGAATTTGACTTCTGTGTTGCGAATTTGATTTTCGCGTTGCGAATTTGAAACCTGAGTTGCGAAATTTGAATTCGCGTTGCGAATTTGTTGGTCATTTTGGCAAATCCAAAAAAAGTTGGTTAAAATCGTATATTATAAGATATTTTCGGTCACTGAAGTTATTTTCTCTAAATATTTATATCTGTATATGAGGTATTCGAACTCTAAATCTCAAGATATAACAATAAACGCCTTGACCATGAAATTGTTTAGTCCATACAAAATGTCATAGAAGTCTAATATAGAGAATTCTTCCAACAGTTTACTCATTTTACAAACTTCATGATTTGAACACGTGATCTTACTTAGAAGATTTAATGTATCACCCGTTGTTGAGGTTTAATTTGGGTAACTCTTATTGTTAATCATTTTTTATACAAGTAATAAGCGTAATCTAAATACATAATTAAGACATTTCCTATAACCATAGACATAAGAAACTAGTCGCTTAAGACCATACAAGAAAAATATTGAAAATTCATACAAAAATTTGAACAAAAAATAGATATGACCAAATCTGATTATCAGTCAGTGAACCACTATAAACTTTAATCATTTCATTTAACGAGAGAGAGAGAATGAAAATTGGGAAGGTTGACAATAAGGGTTTGTTGAAGTCGTAAACAGTTTAATATCATTTAAGTATGTTCTCAAGTTCGAATATTTGTATATACAGAAAAGTCTTATTGGAGAGACTCATCCACTAAAATTAAATGTATGATACGAATTAATCTAAATTAATTAAAATAAAACTTTAAAACCGAGAGCTCAACATAAATTTTTTTAGGAAGGCTGGACAATTACTAAACTACAATCTGACGGTGATGTATACTATGGCATTTCGTGAATGTATGTATGTATGCACGCATGCTTAGACCCTAATCATACTCAAATGTAGAATTAGGGTTGAAGTTGTCTCGTCACAATCAATTAGCCAATGTAAACGATTGGTTCGAAGTCAAGTTAGTGCAAAACCTCTTCACTAGCCCTCTTCTACGGGTCGGTTGGTGATGTTGAAAAGTCAACATAGAAGTGGCCAAATTGATGACAAATTTCGGTGGAAAGTGTGTGCAATAAATGCACCAAAATTAGCTGGAAATTTGGCATCGAAAGTAGTTGGAAAATGTTGAATTTTGGATAATGGTAGAATCATATTTTTAGCTATTGTAATTTAAGATATTTATAAATTAGTCCTTAAGTTTCAACTATAAATACCTTAGCTCATTTAGCTTCAAAACCATCCCAAATCATTCTAGCTTTCTTCCAATACTAGAGAGAATTTAGAGAGTTTTTTTAGAGTTGTTTTCTCATTTTTAACAAGAGAGAATTATCATTGTTTTCTTATTGGTAGATCGAGAGAGGTTGTAATTCCTATTTTTCTCATAGTGAAATTCTTCTACTGTTGCCCGTGGTTTTTACCCTATATTATTTAGGGGGTTTCCACGTAAATTTTGTGTCTCTTTTATCTTCATTTTTATTTTCTCAAATTATTAGTTACGATTTTACTCTATCTGATAGCCGTCTTCCGCAACAGGTGAAACTTCCCTTCAAATTATAATGCCTTTTTGTTTTTACTTAATATAAAAATAAGCACTCAAATTATAATTTTTATTAACTAAAAGTAATTTTTATCATTGTAGTAGATCTAATTTATTATTTTTATCTCTATCGCATTTAGAGCTTATAATTTAGAGTTTTAAGTTAGGAGAATTGCATGGAATGATGCAATTAAACAACTTTAACAATTAAATTGATACGAAAACATGATAGATGTGTTAACGATAAATTTAGTCTATTACATGTGCAAATGTGATATTTAAGCCTTTTTATTAATATTGGGTGATTAAAAAATCTTGTGCTTACTTCGTTATAATTTTGAGTATTTATATTATAGTGATCATTAAATAATTGATAAATGACACCTATCGTATTTATAATTTTTAAAAATATTGTTTTTATTTTTTTTAAATAATACTTTGGTTCTCCCATTCCGTCGACCGATGTCTTAGGCTCGTCTGGACGGACTTTTGAAAACTAAGGTTACGACCTATATACTTAAAATTGTAATGAATACAAATAGGGTTGTAAATGAGACGAGACAGATCGCGAGCTACTCGAGATCGACTCGGTCAAGGCTCGATAAATACTCGGATCGAATGGACTCGACTCGAATTCTTAACGAGCCGAAACGAGCTACTTGATACTCGACTCGAAAAGCTCGTGAGTAGCTCGAAAATATAATATATTAAGATTTTATTTTTTAAAAAATAAATTATTAATAATATTAACATTTATGTGTTGATTTTTTAAAAAAATACAATAAGACTTTCATGTATTTAAGGTTCAAGTTCGAGTTTGAGTTTGAGGATTCAATCTTGTTAAGTTTAAGATTTTTTTTTCATTTCGAGCCTTTTCGAGCTGCTCACGAGCTTCAGTTCAGGATTTCGAGTTCGAGTCGAGTCGAGCTCCATTTCAGAGTTTTCGAGTCGAGTCGAGCTCAGCAATACTCGAGCTCAACTTGGCTCGTTTACACCCCTAAAGACAACGTTAGCGACCTATACACATACTTGAGTCGAATTAAGTTAAAAAATCATAATTTATTCGAATTAATAAATTATATTTTATAATTCAAACTTTATTTTAAAAAAGTTTAAGTCAAATCAAGTTTATAAAATTCAAGTGGATATATTTGAGTTTTTGTTTAAATTTAACTAGTGATATTTATAATATCACACAAGTTAAATGACTCGGCTCAAACTTGAAAATTAATCTATTAATTACCATAAATTTTAAATTATTCAAGTTATTTGAGTTCTATTTTATAACTTAAACTCGAATTGTATGATATCAGAAACATTTATTAATTATATGTTATATTAGATTTTTCTAGGATATTTTATTCTAGTATGACTAAGAAATAATTTTATGCTATTATACTATATGATGTTATCTGTACATATGTCTGTATTCTAATTATGCATTTATGTGATATTTTCCAATTTCTGATTGTCCCCGTCCTGTTTCTATTTGGGATCGTCTACGGAGGGCATTATCCTCGCTCTGATTTTTGTATTCTGATTTGGGTACCTTTTTGGAGGGTAACGTTCCTATTTTGTTTATCCGCAACGAAAGATAACGTTTCACATTCTATTTATCTACAATGAAAGATAGGTTTGTGTGAAGCTCTATATGTTTTCTTGGTGATAAATTTTTATTTTTACTGTTACTTGATTATTATGTTATTTATTATATTATGTCTGGATAATCAATATTTTTATATTAAGAATTATTTGTATTTAGAGGGCACGTTGAGCTTTATAGCTCACTCTATTTCTGTCTTACATTTTCGGATTATCCAAATTTAGAACCAGTTTAGTTATAGAAGATGAAATATTAATTTCGTACTGTATGAGGTTAAATATTATTTTCAACCTCTTCTAACAGTAGCATGAGTTTATCTTTGATATTTTAGTTGGTAAACATTTTCCTTTAAAATGACTTATTAGACAAATTTCGTTCGTATACTATTTATGTGAATAACGTGGATACCCTGATAAGGGGTGTTCAAAAGTACCCGACCGAGTTGGCTCGACCTGTCGACCCAATTAAAAAATATCGAGTGTTTATAATGAAAATATCCAATTTCCGGTTCAGGTACTCGACCTGCTATTTTCTTAGATTTTCAAGTTGGACTCGGGTCATAAAATGTTACTTAATTGGATACTCGTCGACCCAATACTCAATTTCTTATATATATATTTTTTATTAAATTTTTATTCATAATTCTCAAATTATTTCACTATAACATTCTAAATTCTTAATTTCTTAAATTTTGCGACCATAACATTCTAAATTCTTAATTTCTTAAATTATTTTACACTAACATTCTAAATTACTTTTTAAAACATTTATTTCAACTTCAAAATATTTAAAATTTAATTATATTTTTTATTTTTATTTTTAATAAATTTTATCTTCCAATTATATAATTCATAATTTTAAACTTTATGTGTAAATTATATATTATAGACCTTTAAATTTTGAATTTTGAATTTTTCTATATAATTATTTAAAATAATATAACTTAAAAAAATAAAAAAAATCGGTATCCATGTCACATAAATACAAGTACCTAAGTTTTACAAGTTTCCGACTCACGGGTACCCGAATGTAACGGGCCAGGACACGGTCCGACATTTTGGTACCCAAAAATTTCAGGTACCCGATATTTTGAATGCCTGAAAATATATGTACCCAATTTTAAACACCTTTAATTTTAATTCAATTGTAACCCCTAAGCTAGATCTAGGGATACAAATTACCCTCAAATTATACATATTTTATCAAATTAAATTATTTTTATCGTTTTATCCCTTTAATTTTAAAATATTACTTGAAATTTTTCTAAATTCATCAACTTCATATAGAAAATGATAGTTGATAGAAACGTGACACATTATGCTTTAACAAGCATTTAATTTAGAAAGATAAATAATATGTTTTACATAAAATTTAAGAGATAATATATATCATTTATTCTTTTGTTATGCTCAGGGCTACACCACGCATTTCTTCTGTGCTGCTTCCTTCCTCTGGACAACAACTATTGCATTCACTCTACCAGGCGATCAATTTTCAGTTCCATCTGATGTGTTCGATTGTTTTCTGGGAATTTGGGGCTTGCCCGTGTACTAAAACGAAATTATGTATGTATGGAACTGTTTTCACACTGCAGAGATCCATGGAAAGGTTTCTTTTGTTATGCTCAGGGCTTCACCACGCATTTCTTCTGTGCTGCTTCCTTCCTCTGGGCAACAACTACGGCATTCACTCTTCATCGTACTGTTGTTAGACACAAAACCGATGTTGAAGATATGGAGGCAATTTTTCAGTTGTATGTTTGGGGTATGATAATATATATATTTGTTTCCATATCAACTTTTGATTTCTTCTTCAACATCTCACCACGTCTGTTTAGCCTTCTTTCAATGTTCATGTTTTCCTGTTTCTATTTCTACTTCGGTGTTACTGCTTCACACTTGCCACTTTGTTTTCTTCATCCTGCTCCCTTGCTTAATGCTGTTAACCAACTATTTTATATGGGATTTCTATTGCAGGAACTTCACTCCTTATGACTGTCATTCGTTCTATAGGTAATGACCACACACATTTTGGTGCATGGTGTTGGGGACAAACAGGTCGCACTGGAAAGGCAAGTGACAATTAGCAATCTCTGGCAGGTTGCCCACTACTTAGATTTAATCTTTATGTTAAAAGATTCAACTTTTCCTTCAAGCCTTTGGTTTTCATAAGGCTTTCATGTTTCCTTAACCTGTTTTCTTGTCTTTCTGAATGTAGCTCTTGAGTTGCTGTATCTAGAAAATCATGTCTTCTATTATCTTTTGTTCATATTAATTGAGCATCGCAACAATGAGATAACAAAACAAAAAAAAACTGACCTCTAATTATCCTATGATAAATGTAGCATGTTTTCTTAGAATTCTAGAATTGTCTGACGTACTTGGCATATGTATGCAGGCAGTTCACTTTATAACATTTTACGTCCCACTATGGGGTGCAATTCTTTACAATGGTTTTACATACTTTCAAGTGATACGCATGCTGAACAATGCCACTCGTGTACGTTTGCTCTTTATCTATTTTCATAAATTTGATATGATATGCACTTGTGCAATTTTGAGGTCATGTGTGTACTATATTTGGAAATTTTAGATGGCAGTTGGCATGTCAGATCGTGCATACCCGTTTGATTCGAGGACAGACACAAAGTTAATTCTACTTTCCTCAAACATATGATAGATTTTTTTTATCATAAGAGCATGTGGTAGATTTGAAGTTAAAGATATGAAACATACAAATAAACTAGAGATTTTCAATTTTTGTTGCTTTGATTGCTTGAATGCTCAATCATGTATTTATGCTGTTCACTACCCTGATTATTATCCACTGTAATCATCATTTGTTTCTATGGATCTGATGATTACCTGTCTTCATTTCAGACTGCTATGTAAGTACAACTCTACTTGTTCAGGTTTCTGCCCTAGTTTGAAATAGAGAAGGACTTAGTTGTTTCATGGTTCTTTATTGCCTTTTCTACTTTCTCTGAGATTTCCCGGTGAAAGCCATAGGATTATAGTTATTATTCGAATAAGCTGGTTTCTGCTTCTTCCCGCTGTTACCTTTAAGCATTGTTAATTCAAATTAAGGCTATTTGCCATTGATTTTCTTTTCCCATAGGCTCTGAACCGGTGGGGTTACTATCCACTAATCCTGATTGGATCATGGGCATTTGGCTCAATCAATCGCATCCACGATTTTATTGAGCCAGGCCACAAGATCTTTTGGCTCTCATTTCTTGATGTTGGGACTGCTGGACTTATGGTATTGGCTTCTGAAACTATGAATTATATACCATTGTGCATCTGTTATTATGTTTGTTAGTATGGGAACTATATCTCACTTGCAAAACTATTTTTTTTGTTACCTACCTACTATGAGCACAGTTGAGTATGGTCAATTTAGAAGGAGTTGTTTACTTGTTTTGATTCCACTATGGAAACTTGGGTAAGTTTCCAAGTAATATCTTGGGTAAAAAAAATTCCTTGGCTTGTTGTAAATTATTATTGATGAATATGATGTCATATGTTAATCTTTCTTCCTTTTTCTCTCTCTTTTTTTTTGTTTTGTTTTGTTTTGTTTAAGATTATGCAATTCATATATCATGGATAGGGTCATAATGAAAATCTTTGGAGGGTGAGGCAAAACGGGTAACCCCCCTTTACTCCCATATGTAGCCAGCCCTCAATGGGTAATTGTGGGTTGTTTGGAATTGAAAACCAAGTTATGTCATCTCTAAATCTTGTCGATCCTCAATGGATAGGGCCATTAGTGCTGCATAAAGAATGAAGTGCTTGTGCTTTAAGCTTCTCTGAGAATCCGGTTTTGCTATTGTTGTCTATTCATTTTAGGGCCTTTTCAACTCAATAGCTTATGGTTTGAATGCTTCAGTCAGGCGAGCAATTTATGAAAGACTGGAACTGTAAGTAGCAAACTCTGATTTTCTTACATTTTCTTCAGAAATTATAACTTCCTCAATAGGATCTGGAAGGACTTTTTCCATATATAACTTTAGACCACTCAACTCAACACATCTAACTAATCACATTTGAAATTTTGTGCAATTCTCTGCAACATTTTTACTTTCAAAGTAATAACTAGACATGTCTAAAGACCAAGTTACTTTTTGGATTGGGTCTTGGACGCGGTTTTTCAAGACTGTGCAGCTCAAATATTATTTAATAACCCGACGAGCTAGGTGTGGTCTTCGGCAGAGGTTCAAAAAGTCAGCCGAGACTATAACCTGGTTCATAGACAAGTCTAGCAGTGTTGTAGTGCTGGAATCGTGGAGACAATACTTTTTTGGTTTGTGAATATACTATGATGAAACCTGAGATCGTATGGCAGGAAAAAAAATTAAGTATGTCAATGATGGTGGCATCTTCTTTGGGTTCTAAAACATCGTGGATATCTACTAGGAAATATGATAGAAAAATTAAATCCCTTTTTGGTAGTAGTTTCTCTGTAATTTTTTGGTATTGCTGCTTTTGCAATTGTTATTTTCAATGGAAGATATGAGTGCTTGCATCCTGTACCAGGTTTTGGCCAGAGAGGCTCCAAAGATGGTTCCCTAACAGTTCAAGACATAGAAACCAACAGCAACAGAGTGAATTGGTTGCCCTCAAAATTCAGGACCAACCGTAGCTAGCAGTTGGACATTTTCCATACTGAAACTTAACTCTGTTGATAGCTTTTTCGATTTTTGTTGATATTCTTTGTGTAAATTGTTGGGAGACAAACTTTGAAATGATGAGACAATTGAAGCTGGCATCCAAGAGAAATCGATCATTAGATCAGATCATTTTCTTACCTTGACTAGATCGGATCATTAAGGTACCCCTCACAAGACTGATGTGTTGTGGATAGGCTATTTCATGAAGCATCTGTAAATTTGAAGCAGACCACGGCCACAAGAGCATTACATTCTTTTTAGATGGTATAGTGTCCTGTTCTTGGTTGTTATTGTTAGTTAACAATTGTGTGAAGTTGAAGTTGTTTGTTGGTTCGATCGATCATTCTTGTACTCTGTTGTCATCAGATTCTAGTATGAAATTGTTTGTAACTTTTGCTGTTTATCCTGAACCCTGGCTTTACATCAAAATCTGCTGCTGTTTTGAGCTATTGGCAAGCTATACTAGGATTCAGTGGATGGAACTTTCAAGTTTTCACCACAGAGACCATAAACAAACTAAGAAAATCTCAATCAATTTCTTTGCTGACTAATTCAGATATGTTCAAAATTTAGGGTTTGTGAGTTGTAAGAGCTTACATTTGCTGATAGTGTGGTACCTACCAAAGCTAGTTGTGGGGCACTCCGAAGGAAGCCGCAGGTGCTCTTCATTATATTTGACAGACACGAGACAAAGGCCGTGCGGTGGGGCGGACAAGGCAAATTTAGCCAGTTCTCTACGATCTTGAGTTGCCAAAATCTTTGGAACAATATCTGCAGGAATTGCTTCCTTTCCAATTTGAACCAACAAAGCAACCTGCAATATTTACAGGTCAGAACCAAGAAAATGCTTATGCTATCATATTTTACCCCTCCATCACAAGTTAATTCAAAGATAATAGGCAGATCCAGTGCATTTTATTCTCCAGGAGCTTAAAAAGTTGCAATGCAAGTTTGTCCTAGTTAACATCAATGTGTAAACAACTAGAAAAAAGTGGCATTTTTTTTATTTTGCAGCAACTTACCATGTTTCGAACTTGTCGATACAAAAATCCTGAACCTTCAACCTCAAGCTGTATGAGAGGTTTTCAAAGCCTCGTAGGTAATATCGAAACAAACTGGTTTGAATGACGTAGTGAATCCATGGTAGCTAGATGCTAAAATTCAAGAAAGAATATGTTTTCATGAAACATAAAGAATGTTCAGAACCAAAAATTACCATTTCAATAGCTTCGAAACGGAATATTGTCTTCACTGGATTGGGCACTCGGTCATTACGTGAAACATTAACAAAAGCTGAGAAGTCATGTTTTCCAATAAACAATTTTGCTGCTTCTCTCATGGCTGCGGTATTGAGTTTATAATAACTATGGTAAGCATGATGACGCTGAAATGGATCCATGATGCTGTCATTATAAATCTTGTAGTGGTAAACCTTGCTTTTTGCTGAAAACCGAGCATGAAATTCGGGTCTTGCAGCAGCAATCTCTCTAACTCGGATGTCGGAAGGAAGAAGCCCATTTAGAGCAGCATGAACAGTCTCCAAGCTGTCATAATTGAAAGGTGTAATGAAGTGTGCCACCTGAAAACCTTATCGACTGTATGTAAGTTTGGGAGTTATAGATGCATGCTTATCAAATTCTCATACAAGTAAGAAAGTCGGACCTGACCCCAAGCATGAACTCCCGTATCTGTCCGACTTGCACCGACAAAGTGAAGATGCTCTCGTTCGAGCTTTGTTATTCGAACTAAAGCCTTTTCTACAATGCACTGAATAGTGGGTGGTGAAACTTGAAATTGCCAACCTGAAATAGATAGTGTTGTTCAGTATTCGAGATATAAGAACCTGAAACCTTGCCGTCAAGTTTCCGACTGCTGTAGAAACCAGGAATCATGCATAGCATCAGATGGAAATGTTAAAGATTTCTTTTCTCAATTTTTGAATAAGTAGAATTTATTTATCCAAAGAAAGCAGTAAAGGAAACTGCTACAACTTTACAGTTGTAAGGACTTCCTCAAGGTTTAATGCTTACCTACTGCATAAATTTGTTCATCCAACTATCATATATATGTGTGCGCGCGTGCGAGCATCAATATCAATTCATCAGATCTCTACCCAGTTCAACCATGTACACACTGTTCTATTGAAACTACAAGCTGAAATAATACCCCCCCCCCAAAAAAAACAATATAGTGTTGACAACCGAAAAAAACAGCTGGTCCCTAGTCTCATCTTCTTCACTAAAATGTCATAGCCACATGAGATCATTTTATTTTAAGTTGGTAATCCATCTAGTAAAGTCATCCAGGAGATAACCGAGTGCCTTGGAATGGAAAGGCTGCACCAAACCAACCGATGCCAAGCCACCCTAGGTTTTCAATGCCTAACCCGATTCCAATTTCATCAACTTCTTAAAATTCCAACCAGAATTTTGATTGTTTTGCATTTGCAACCTAATCCAGAATTTAGATAGCGCAGAGTACACCAATTATCTAGATTTGAAACAAATTAGCTCTTGCTCTTCAAATTAAAACAAGTTGGTTCATGGAGCTTGTAATGCTAATGTTAAACAGAGAAGGCAATTAGCATTATACATGTGTATTTGAGCAGAATCTGGTGAGACGAATGAGAAGGTGAAAGGGGTGGTGAAATACATGCATACATTCCGGTGTACCCCCTCTGCACCTCATAACCTCCGGAAAACCCGGGAGCACCTCCTCCGAGAGCACTTCCATATTTCGAATATGGACCTCAAACGCCTGACATCCTTTGGGAAGTTGCAACCTTCGGACATGATCCTGACAACGCACGTATCCTATAAGAGTTAAATCTACTATCAAATCGTATCCGCCTAGCCTGCTAACTTAGGAGTAATCATAATGACACTGCCTACACCAACACTAAGAATCACTATAAATCTCTCAATTAAGACCGAAAAAGAGAAGAAACAATTATTCTCCATCTCCATTCAATCCTCCTCTGTCTCCCGGGTTTGGATGCCGGACAACGATTAATCTCTCATCGGCTAATCATATCTACTATAGTCGTCCAGACTCATTAATTCCGGTCAACACATACATATATAAACACAAAGAGGGAAAGCAAACCAACTTTGGAAAAAATCGTTTTTTTTAAACCGGATCAAATATTTTAAAACCGGAGAGTATAACCGGTTTAGAAAAAAATTGGACAATCGAATTTTTTATCGGATAAAAAACCGATTTTTATTCAAAAAAAATCCGGTTATGGGGTTTAAAAAACTAGTCGTTAATATAGCCGTTGGGGGTATGCATTTGTTTAAAGGATTATTTGGATGGAGCGGATTTTTTACCGAAATTTTATCGAATTAAAAATTGATTTTTTTAAAATCGAAACCGATTACACTGGTTACACCATCCGATCCTCCAAACCGATTAAAATTAGAACCGATTTTTTTAAAATACGATTTTTTAGCTAGGAGAAAAACCGGATCGATTACTTTTTATCCAACCATGTGCATGTCTAGCTACTGGGTTTCACCATTGCAGCTGGTTACCACCATCTTCCACCTACAATTACAAACAAAAAAGGAAGAAGAAATGGGTTTATATTATTTATGTAAAAAATTGAAAGAGAAAAAAAAACATGAGAGAATTGAGTCATATACGGATAGAGAAGTATAATTGTTGGGAGAAGAAAGGTGGCCATTTGTATATAAAGAAGAAGAAGGGACTAAAGCTGCTGAAACACACCCCATGTCTCCCCTCTTAACTCTTTTTTAATCTTGATATAAAATTTTACCTCTGAATTTCATATAAAATTTTAATTAGATATTTTTTTTTGTAAATCTAAAATAGTTTAAGGATAAATTTATAATTTAACATTCGTAGAATTTTTATTATTCAATGACAGAATAATAATATTTTTGAAAGGAAAAAAAATTAAGGGCATTTTAGTCTAAAACGCCGGTAATCTAACAATACCTAAGGAAAGGGAGGTAATGACATTCCCGGTAATATACTCAAAAAAATCTACTATTGGTAATGTAAGATTACCGGGAATGACATTCCCGGCCAATCAAACGGGGGAATGTGAATTTCATTCCCATGGGAATCTCACATTCCCCCAACCAAACACACCCTAAAAGTATTATAGAAGTCTCTTTATTATAGCACCAAGTTCACTTTGGTGCTTATGATTACGCCTGTAAATGAACTAATTCAGCGAACCGTTCGTAGATCATTCGATTGGAAATTCATTTATGTTTATTTGTTATATGAATAAATATGAACAAGATTTTATGTTCATTAAATTAAATGAATGAAAGCGAACAAAGGCTCGTTCTTTCATTTATGTTCGTGAACGTTCGATTATACGTTCGTTTATGTTCGTTCATTTATGTTTATTTATTTCGTTCGTTTATGTTCGTTTGTTTATGTTTGTTTATGTTCTCCAAACCCGTTTGAAATATAAAAACTTAATAAATTTTAACTTTAAACCCATTAATATTTTTAAACTCAATTAATTTTAAACCCAAATAAAAAATACTCAAATCAATTAAAGAAAATATGAATCCTAAAATTATTTTAAAAAAAACTCTTCTCAAATATAAACTTAATTAATTTTATGTTCGTTCGTTTGTGTTTGTTTACGTTCGTTAATTTATGTTCGTTTATCATTTAAATTTCTTAATAAACGAATACGAACAAGAAATTATGTTCATTTAATTGTTCGTATTCATTCATTCGCTTGTTCAATTAAAGGTAAACGAACGAATATGAACATACCCTCGTTCATGTTTGTTTATAGGCCTACCGATTATTTTAAAACAAGGGTAAACTACACCCGTGGCTACTTGATTATTCAAGATTTTATCTTATCCTCAAATCTTTTAATTTTGTCAATTTAATTATTTGACTTTATAAATGATGCCAATAAAATTATACGTGGTTAATATTTTAACGATGAATTGATGTTGTATTTAATAAAATTAATATAATTATACATTTAATCATTATTACTTATAATTTCTATCATTTGAAGAAAGATTATCATTTGAAGAAAGATTTTATTGTGTAAGTAATGATGACTAAATGTGTAAAAATAAGGATTAAATGTATAACTAAATCTATCTTATTAATTATCACGTCAATTAATCAATCAAATGTTAACGACAAATAATTTACTGATATCATTTAAATAATTAAGGAGTTTAATTAATAAAATTGAAATATAGATGTTTAAATTAAAATTCCTTATAACTGAATGATCACAATTATAATTTATCCTTAAAACAAATACAAAAATATATTATTTAATAAATTTTTAACGAAGTGAATAATTTCAATGGTAAAAAAATTATTATTTTTTCTAAAAAATATAAACATATATTATCTTATAATCACATCAAACTATTCAAAAAAATAAAATTTTAATATTCTTTCCTTAAATAATATCTATTGAATTAAAATTATGTTAATATTATATCTTAAATTAGTATAATAAAATACATCTCATTAAATCAATAGTTAATTTTGTAACTATTTGTAGCTAACAAATGTTTTTTCTTTTAAAAATGTATAGGACTAAATTGAACTGTGTTGTGGTATGTGGAGCGGTCAAATGATTTTACCAGTTATGAAACCAATGTAACTAGGGGGTTTATCGAGCGAGTCGATTACAAGTTGGGCAGTGCTCGACTCGGTCTCGTTAAAAAATTTTGTTGCTTAACTCAATTCGTTGCTCGTTAAGCTCGTTAAAATTTTGCTCGACTCGTGCTCATTAAGAAAATGTGTTGATCGACTCATTGTTTGTTAAGCTCGTTGCTCGACTAATTGCTCTTTAAGCTCACCAATTTTTGTTAACTATAAGTAAAATCTACTAATCCTATATAAAACTTAATATAAACATAAATTAATAAATTCAATCAAAAAAAAATATCAAAAGAGTGTTTAAAATAAATTCAAAATCCAAACACCAAAATAATAATTAGGATTTGATTTTTGGATGTAATAAAATAATAATTATTAATGAATAATTTAGTATTTTAATTATTTATTAGAAATTCAATAGATTAGTCATTCATTATATTTTTTATAATTTATTAGTAAATTAATAATTTTTTGAATGAAATAATTTTTAAAATAACTATTAAAATAATAATAACAATAATAATAAATTATTCACAAAATTATTAAATTAAATTAAACTTTACTCGATTATGCTCGTTAAAGTCTCAAATCGAATTCGAATCGAGTGAATTGGAGTGCGGAGGTGCTCCCTATATAATGAAAGCACCCCTAAATGAAACATAAAAACAAAAGTAAAAGCCCTAATTCATGAACCAGTCCTTCCAGGTAATTCTCTTCCGATTTGACGCAGTCCAAATTTTGCCCTAATTAATCAGCAGGTTCTTCATTTCCTTTCTCCCTCATCCTTTGAATTTCAATTTCCCTTCTTGTTGCCCATCCTTTTGTTTGTCCATTTTCCCCCCTAAATGTATCTTATTTTCTGCAAAAAAGATTCATGCGTTATTATCGTTTAGAGGATATATTGATTGATTAAAGACAGATTTTTATGTGTCAGTTTTATTATTATCGCAATGACAATCGGAAAGCTGATCGTTGTATGTCAATCCGGCGGAAAGTTCACCACCAATGCCGACGGGACACTATCTTACTCCGGAGGGGATGCCCACGCCACCAGTCTCACCGTCGACACCAAATTCGATGATTTCAAGTCCGAGATTGCTGATATGTGGAAGTATGACCTCGATTCACTCACCATTAAGTACTTACTCCCCAACAATAATCGCACCCTTATCACCATTTCCACTGACAAAGACATTCAGCGCTTCCTTGAGTTCCATGAAGACTCTGCTTCTGCTGATGTTTATGTCCTCACGCCAGCGCCTCCTGCTCCTAGCGACGTCACCTCCACGCCTTGTAGCAGGTCAAAAACCTCTCCTTTGCACACCCTTTTCCCGTTTTCTTCTGTCTTGTGCTTACAGTTTCTTTATTGTCATAAATTGTTAAGAAAATGAAGATTTATGATCAGATCATTTTAGTTTCAGTTGTTTTGTTTTCAAGTTTATATTACAAAATATACGGGGAATATGGATGTAAGACTTATTGAAGGTTGTGGATTTGAGAGTGTAATGTAGAACATAGGAGCATGAATTGTTAGGTGTTTGGCGTAGAGCTGAAAATGAGATGAGACATTATCAAGTTACTTGAGTTCGACTTGGTCAAAAGTCGATCAAAATTCGATTTGAATGGACGTGAACTCGAGTTAAGATCATAAGGAGCCGAAATGAGCTAATTGATACCTGACTCAAAAAGTTCGAATTCGAACTTCAATCGAGCTAAGTCTGAGAATGTTTCCAACTATTTTTTATTTCGAGATGAGTTTGACAATTTTAAGCTTGCCTGCTTCTGAGTCGAGTCGATCTCAACTTTGAACTTCTTGAGTCAGGTCGAGCTCAGCTTTGAACTTTTCGAGTCAAGTTGAGCTCAACTCAATTTATTTAGTCCTATTTGGGGGTTAAGATGATGGTTCAGTTTTGGGGATTGATTTTTTTTACATTTTGTTTGCTTAAATAGTCTGATACCTATGCAGGTTCAGTCATACAATGCCCAATGTATCTGTTTCTCCGGTTGATGCTCCTACTGATGTTGCCGCCGATGAACCTATCTATACCGCTGATACTCCTATGGATTTGCCTTCTGGTGCAGAAGACACCGAGAATCAAAAAACACCTCGGATTTCGCCGTGGAAGAGTTGCATTACAGGAGTAGGTCAGAGTTTTAAAACTCGACATGAACTTCACGATGCTTGGAAAAAGTTTTCTTTAGCACACAGTTTCCATTACAGAATTAATCGCAGCAATGGAAAGCTATTTCATGCAAGTTGTAAAGCTGAAGGGTGTCCTTGGGTCTTGGGTGCGTCAAAATTGTCTAAAACCAATTTGTTCAGGATTCAAAGGATGAATGACACCCATACCTGTGGTGTGGGATCGTTACGAGCAAGTGTCTCGGGGAAGTTCGTTGCGAGTATTGTAAAGGAAAAGTTACGAGATACCCCGACTTGCAAGCCAGTAGAAATCATCGACTATATTCGACGGGATTCTGGGATCGAGCTAAATTATTCCCAGGCTCACAAGGGGATAGTTGTTGCACTAGAGGAACTTCAAGGTTCACATACAAAGGCTTATAGTCAATTGCCTTTGCTGTGTGAGAAAATATTGGAAACAAATCCTGGCAGTGCTGCCATTCTCAACACCAAAGAAGACTCGAGTTTTCAACGAATATTTGTCGCTTTCCATGCATCACTCTATGGATTCTGGAATGGTTGCCGCCCTCTACTTTTTCTTGGCTCCACATCTTTGAAGTCGAAATACGGGGGAGAACTGTTATCTGCCACTGCTTTGGATGGAAATGATGGTATTTTTCTAGTAGCTTTTGCAATAGTAGATTTATTGAGCGATGATAATTGGCATTGGTTTCTTCAGCAGCTGAAGACTGTGCTCTCTACTTCTCATGAGATAACATTCGTAGCAGGTATGAAAAAGGCGATGAGTGAATCCCTTGGGTCGGTATTTCCGAATTGTTTCTATGGTTATTGCCTGCATCTGCTAACAGAAAGCCTGAAAAAGAAGTTTAAGGGATCATTAAGTCTAGGGGTTGTTCGCGTGCTAATTTCGGAATTTCATAAAGCCGCCTATGCTTCAACTGCTGAAGAGTTCAAGAAGTGCGTCGAGACGATAAAAATTGTATCACAAGAGGCTTACGAATGGGTCCTCCAAACGGAACCTGAGCACTGGGCAAATGCATTTTTTAAGGGCGCTAGGTACAATCATCTTAAATCTAGTGTTACGGAATCATTTTATGACTGGGTTTCTGATTTACGTGCAATGCCGATTACACAAGTGATCGAAACGATACGCCGTAAAATGTTGGAATTCATCTGTACACGGAAGATGGACTCAGATCAGTGGTCATCAAAGCTTACCCCCTCTGCAGAGGAAATCCTCCGACGAAGTCTTGTCGATTCACGTTCTCTTGAAGTAGTACTTTCACCCGACAGTAGTTTCAAGGTTCGTGATACTTTGGACGTAATGCATGTTGTAAGCCTTGAAAATTGGGAGTGTAGTTGCAGGGAATGGCAGCTAAACGGCTTACCGTGTTTGCATGCCGCGGCAGCGATCGAGCACGTTGGCAAGGATGTGTATGATTATTGCTACAGATACTTTACGACCGAGGCTTTTAAACTTACGTATTCCGAATCCATAAACCCGATTCCATCCTTGGACGGGTGTACGGAACAAGAATCGTCGGAAGTGCTTGTGCAACCCCCTGGCATAACCCGTCCGGTGGGACGGCCAAGTGAAAGAAAATCCGCAGATAAACCCAAGCAAGCTGTTAAGAGACGGTGCAGCAAGTGCAAAAAGCTTGGCCACAACAAAAGCAAATGCGACCAATCTGCTTAGCTTAGGTGTAAAAGTTGTAACTTGTTGCGTGTAGTTTTTGTACTAGTTAATCCATGGAATCCAATCAGAACCAGGTATTTATGACCCACCTGCCAAATACTCTTCGAAATTCTCGATCGTTTGCTAATCAACGTTTAAATCAGTACAAATGTCGTATTCAAACTCGAAACATCTAAAAATAACAATCATCTTTTTAATAATTTGTTTATGTCTATTACTTCAACAAGTTGTTTGTTTGTAGTCTAGTGCTAAATTGTTTAAATATTGGATATACATTTTAATTTAATCACTTGTAATATATATAGTTATGATATTTTGATTCTAGCTCAAGCAAAATCTATTATATATATTAAATCAAATTCAGATTTTAATTCCTATATTATGCATAAATATCAAATTTAGTTTATGTTTTTAGCTTAATACTTTGTTTGTTAAATCAAATTTGGCTTGTAATTCATTACCTTTTGGGTAAACTACATAAATGACCACATAACTATAGGATGGGTTGCAAAATTACCACCATTTTAAAATTTGCGTTAATATGACCATTAAATTATTTAAATGGTTTCAATATAGCAACCTGTCGTGGACACTAACGGAAGTGTTTACGTGGCAGTTAACAAAATTGGTATAATTAGGGCACGAGTTATTGTAAAGTTACATATTCGTGGCCCTGGAACCCTGCTTTGTTTTCTTCCATTTTGGTCACTACTTGTGTATGATTTGTTTCCTAGGATTTTCATTTAATGCAATTTGATCTTGATTCTATTTTCAATTTGTCTAATGCCTTAATTGAGCATTAACTTTAAAGTCTTTTATTCTAGTCATGTATTAAATTTGTAGATTAAATCCCCTAGGTTTTAGGATTAATCAATTTGATCAGCAAAATTAATTAGGTCCAAATTTTAATTTAATTTAATAAATTTATTTCAACAATCAAATTGTGGCATCTGTCATAATCTTATGATTATAATAGAAATATTAACTAATATATATATATATATATATATATATTATAACTTGAATATTAAATTATTTTTTAATGATTTCAAATTTATAATCATTTAAAAATAAATATGAAAACTATATAATTGATTCCTAAATATTAGATTTATCTTATTTTTTAAGGCTTGCATGATTACTAAATAATTTTGGGTTCAAATCCAATTAAGTTATTTTAATTTTTTTTCTATCTAAACTTGAACAAGTTGTATAACATATGTATTATCTCAATAATAAGCGTGAGAATTAGCTCGGTGGTTAAGACATGCTCTAGTTACCCTTGGGACACAAGTTGGATTCCCTTGGGTGTTAAAACTCATCTTTATTTATTTTTACTTCAATTCAAAAGGTGGCACACGTCATCTTTTGATTGGATTGAAAATTTATTAAATTAAAATTTAAAAAACCCTCTAATTAGATTGTGACATGTGTCACAATTTGATTGGAGAAATAAATTTATTAAATTAAATTGAAATTAGTACCTAATTAAAATTTAAGAATTAAAGTTAATATTGGTGATCAAATTGATTAATTCTAAAATCTAAGGGATTTAATCTATAAATTTAATACATGACTAGAATAAAAAGATTTTAAATTTAATGCTCAAATTAATTAAATAGACAAATTAAAAGCAAAATCATGATCAAATTGCATTAAATGAAAATCCAAGGAAACAAATCATACACAAGTAGTGACCAAAATGGAAGAAAACAAAGTTGGGTTCGAGCACCGCGAATACGTAACTTTACAAGGACCCGTGCCCTAATTATACCAATCTTGTTAACTGCCACGTAGACGCTTCTGTTAAATGCTAACGTCATGTGATTATATTAAAAACATTTAAATAGTTAAATGATCATATTGACGTAAATTTTAAAAGGAAAGTCATTCGCTACCCAACCTATAATTATGTAGTCATTTATATAGTTTACCTTTATATTTTTTAACTTAATAACTCTTTTATTAAATAGAGAGATTATATTTCTATGACAAATGTTGAGATTTAAACTAACATAAAATAAGACGTTATAAACATCTTTAATCACTTGACTAATTTATTAATTTTTAATTTAATAATTTTAAATCCATATAATTTGATTATATAATCCTAACAAATTATAATTTAAAAAGAAAAAAATACTAAATTAGAATGTAACGATCTGAACGGGGTTTCAAATTAGAACTGGACACTTTCACCATGTTACTATATCCCGAATCCGACCCGATTCTTTATTTATAAATATATTGGGTGTTTGGTAAACAACTTTTTGAAGAGTTTTTACATTATTTGAGTATAAATAGTTGATTAGTAATCAAACCCTCTATTTTTAGTGTTTGATAAACACCTTTTTGAAAGAGTTTATTGTGCAAAAATAAGCTGAAAAAGAAAATGCTTGAAAATCCAGCGGTTTGGAAAAGCTGATTGCAAAATAAGATGTTAAATGACATATTTGACCTTATTTTTTCCCATAATTACATAATTACCATAAATAAAACCTAATATAATAAAATAACCTTCATCCTAATATATTTAAGTTAAAATTTTATTTTATTATTCTATTGAACCTTAAATATAAAAATTATTATATTAAAAACTTAATATTCTCTCATTGGTATACCACTCATCTCTTTTCTTTTTCGGATTTGTTGATCGATGGCAACACAAACTTTAATGTTGGTTGTCGACTGTCGGTATTATTTATTTGCTTTTTCTATTTTGCATCTTTATTTTCTTTTTCTTTTTTATTTTCAATAAGTCTACATGTGTTGCACGTTTTTCATCAACCTTTATGACACGTTTTTATGCCTTTTGACATGTTTTTTAATTCTTCGGCCGTCTTTTGTTTATCTTTTTTTAAGGTTGATTTAACATCATAAAGACTGATCAAGATGACGCTTATTTGATATCTAGTGATATTTCCTGCTTTGAACCCTCAGATTGGATTTAGATAACCAATTTGTGTTCATGGATAACTTTTCACATCGCTTGAGTCTGATTTGTGGTTTGTCGGTGGTCTGTCAATAGTTTAATCTCCTTTTGTGGTTTGTTTGTCGATGCAATCAGATCTATTTGTATGTATCTTTGTTCGAGTTTTTTTGTTAAATTTAATCTTTCTTAAGTTACTATTTTGTTTCAATGATTATTGAAAATTTTTCTAATTACATTGTGATTATAAATCTTTATTGTAATTTATGATATTTCCTATTTTGAATAAAAGTAGTTAATTATATAAAAATAAAAGTAAAAAGAATGTAATGTTGATACTTTATACAAAATTAATATCAATCTCACAAGATTAATATTTGTATATATTAAATTTAAAGAATATATTCAAAATTTTTAAAAATATTCACTAATTTTCTTAATGAAATTTTAATTCATTGTCAAAAACATTTTATTTAAATAATTTCAATCAAATAAAGACTAAAATATTATAAATATATATATATATATATTAGGGATGGCAACTCAACCCGAATCCGACGGGTTCCGACCCGACCCGATCGGGTTGGATTTTTTTTAAAAAAAAATTGGGTTCGGGTCGGGTCAGGTTTTTTTTAAATGTACTGTTCGGGTCGGGTCGGGTCGGGTTTAGGGTGAAAAAAAATCCGACCCGACCCGACCCGAAAAATATATAATTTTATCCTATATATTAGGGATAATTACAATAATGTCCCTCTATATATAATTTTTTTCAATTAAGTCACTGTTTTCATTGAATAAATTTTTTTTTATTATTATTTCGGGTCGGGTCGGGTTTCTAAGTCATATATTCGGGTCGAGTCGGGTGAAACCTTAATTTCGTCGGGTCGGGTCACAGGTGAAAAACCCTTTCTTCTCGGATCGAGTCGGGTGGCCCAAAAACCCGACCCGACCCGACCCATTGCCATCCCTAATATATATATATATATATATTAATAACAAAATATATCATATTCTTATTTATTATTTTACTGATATAAATTATCAACTAAATTTTATATAAATAATTAATCAAATCAAATCTACCGACTATCAACAATCAATTGTTTTGCCAAACACCCCCACTCTTCTGGAGTTTTCCGACCATGGGGAACTCCTAGTCCTTGGACACAGAGACGTACCGCTTTTCACCTCACCACCTAAGAACTGATACGTGGAATGCCGAATTTCGGCACTTGGCAACCTCACACGTCTCCCGGTTATCCACGTTGCATGACAACAGCCCCCGTCGCCTCCTTTAAATTCACAGCCCCCATAGTCCAACTCCATCATCGTCTTCTTCTTCCATCTCTGAAAATAGTATAATCTGTTGCTTTACTTTTAACCCCATATTACATCAATGGCTTCCAAGGAAGTTCCGGTTTGGTTTCTCATTCTGTCAACACTCCTAATCGGCACCGCTGTCGTGTGGTGCACGAGCGTCGGCCACACGCCGTCGACGGATGACGACGCTAAAGACTACTTGAAGATGAAAGCCAAGACGGAGGAGGCCACGGATGAGATCGACAGGCAAACACAACAAGCCAAGGATGAGCTCAAGAGCAGGACACAAAAGGCCACCGATAAAGCATCGGATATCGGAGAAGAAGCCAAGGAGTCGACTGAATCGTGGACAGGATGGGTTAAAGGCAAGATACCGGAAGGTCTCGGGTTCAAACAAGGCGAAAGTGCTCAGAGGGAGGAAGAAGCGAAGGACAAGGCGGCGGATGAGGCCGAGAAGAGGAATGCTCAGACGGAGGAGGGACTCTCGTGGGCGGCTGCGGCCAAAAACAAAGCCGGAGAGACCATGGAGGCGGCCAAGGAGTCGATAGCTTCGAGTTACGAATCTGCTAAGCAGAAGTCGCAAGGGATGAAAGATAGTTCTGTTGACAGCGGAGGGCGTGAACGTGACGAGGAGCTCTGATGTGCCTGCCGCAACGACGATGCCACGAAGTTGAAGGACTATATGACGTGATGTATAAACTAAACCTGTTGGCTTGTGTTTTAATTTTGTACCTTTCTCTTAATAATAATAATACTTCAAATATTTTAGTACTAATAAAAAAATTTGTTCCCACTTCTATTAATTTATTCCAATACAACATTATATGAGATCATGATTATATACGGTTGAATTTGAATTTATAAAATTTTATCATAAATTTTTAGTAAAAAATATAAAAATTAAAAATATATAATAATTTAGAAAAAAAAATTAAAATATATAATAATTTTATATAATAATTTAAAAAAAATTAAAATATATGATAATTTTATAATTTTAGGAAAATGACCGTCTATTTTATCTCTGCTTATTTGCATCCCGGGGATATATCAATCTGCATATTAGTCTATGTTCTTGGAAAAAGAATGGATTTTTGCTAAGCGCACTCTATGACCTCAACATGTTTAGCTATTCCATTATTATTATTTTAAGTTTGAATAAAATAATATTACGTGAAGAGTTTATTTACATTTGTCGTAAATTTGCTCCCATATATTTTAATTTGATTTGAGTGATCATAAAATAATATTTATTCAAAATATTTGATTTGTGAATTAAATATTAAATTTAATTTAGCAGTTAAATGTGCATATAACCCCAATAATCATATATAAATATATTAGGTTTAATATAAAAATAAATGTTCAAATTATATTTTTTTCTATTTAGGTGTATAAATATTTTCAATCGATTCAAGTATCTAATTTTACAAACATTACATGTTATCATTTTAAGTGTCTCGGTAATAATAACCGTTGAAAGAGTCCATTAAATCATACGTGTCACTTTTAGATAATTTTAAAATTTTTATTTTAAGAAATCATTTAAAATACTATTATATTTAAAACCCAAAATTCTCTTAAATTACAAAAAAAAAAACCCAAAATTTTAAAAATCTTAATTTTAAATACCTCTGCCGACACAGGCTGCCACAGAGCTTCTAGGATAGTGTCGCCATCGTCAAACACCCACCCACCCATCGAGGACCATCTGTTGACCGGCTATATCTCAATCCCTTAAAATATCTAAAATCCTTGACATTTAAGTCCCTAATCCTAAATTCTTATTTCCTTCCTACCCAGCTTTCTATCACCGATTACATCAAGGAGGTGGGCCGTCATTCGTAAATCAAGCAGTGGCGTGAGGTTGCAGATAGAGGTGCACAAAATCTGAATATCTGATTTTGTGAAAAAAATATTTGAAATCGAATTTAGGGAAAATCGTTTTTTTTAACCGGATCGGATATTTTAAAACCGGATAGTATAACCGGTTTGAGAAAAAATTGGACAACCGGAATTTTTACCAGATTAAAAACCGGTTTGAAAAAAAATGGATAAAAAACCAGTTTTTTATTCGGAAAAAAATCCGGTCTGGGTTTAAAAAATTGGATGACCGGATTTTTTACCGGATTAAAAACCGGTTTTTTTCAAACCGAAATCGGTTACACCGGTTACATCATCCGGCCCTCCAAACCGATTATGATCCGAACCGGTTTTTTTATAAACCAGTTTTTTGGCTTAGTGAAAAAACCGGATCGGTTTCTATCCGATCCGGATCGAATTTAAATCCGGCTATGTGCATCTTTGGTTGCAGGGATTAGTTCGGGGGAGTTATACATTACGACATAAAGGAAAAGTGTTATTAATTTTATTATTATTTTTTAATAAAATCGATAAAAATTATCAGAAATATTATTATTTTTAAATAAAATATTAATGTTCTTAATATTTCCTGTAAAATGTTTAATAATAATAAAATCAGTAGAAAAAATAACAAAATTGGTAGTATTCTATCAAACCCATAAAGCGCCCAATAATAATAAAACTGATAGAAATAATAATGTTTACAGTAATTTTGACCGGTTTTGTTAAAAATATAATAATAAAACCGGTAACGTATTTCCTTAGCCGAATATTAAAGCTGTCGGACGTGATCATTTCCCGATTAGCTCCCCTTTCCCCTTACATGCACAAATATCGGTGATAAAAATATAGGGTTTTGGGTTGTCGGGTTGTCGGGGGTTTAACGTTCTTTGGTTCATGTTCTCGTGACTGTTTGGTCAGGTGGAGGTACGATCGAATGGAAGTTCGACTGACGGGAACGGGGGCAAAAGGCGGTGGTTGTCGTTGGTATATAAATTCAAATTAAGGTTTTCAAAGTTTTTGTTTCCTTTTAACATTTAAGAAAATTTTAGGTTTTTTTAATTATAATTTTATTTTTTAAAATAAAATTTTTAAAATCTTCTAAATACGTCACATGTCATTTAATAAAAAATTTAACATTTGTTATGCTGAGACACTTAAAATGATAATATTTATAAAGCTAGATACATGAATTGACCGAAAAATAATTTAAACGCCTAAATGATAAAAATGATATGATGTGAACACTTACAATTATTTTTATTTTAATCCAATATATTATTATAGAAACTTGATTTTTTTTTTAAATTGATCAAAAGTAAAATTAACCTCATAATTAAGTGATACCGGCCTACCCTTACATTTTTACCATGCAAATTTTGGTATTTACTGTCTATGAAAATCCTCCTAATTAAGATACTAAGCCTTCATTCCCGGTAAAGCATAAGATTTTATTATCCTTTTGCCTTTCTTCATCATCTCCTTCCCTATATATTCTCCGTATTTGTATCTATAAATATTGTTTTTAATAGACCAGACCAGACAAGGGACAGGGACAGGGACAGGACAGGAAATCGCTAAACAAACTGGTTTGGTGATTTCCTCCTCGGTCCTGCCTGTTCTACAACATCCTATATTGTCTTTGTATATATTTATTTTTTTGTGCCAAGATCTCTGCTAGTCATATTAGTTTCTGATTACATTCGAAATCGAATATTGTTTTCTTCGTTTACAAGAGTCGAATTCGGCAAATGAGAGTTCTGAAATTGGGGAATTACGAGCTGGGGAAGACGCTCGGAGAGGGAAGCTTCGGCAAAGTTAAATCGGGAAGCAACCTCCACTCCGGCCAACCTTTCGCCCTTAAGATCCTCGACAAGTCCACAATCATCCAGCTCAACATCACCAATCAGGTATACATACATGTAGGGATGGGTATGAGATCAATCCCGACGGGTTTCGACCTGACCAGATTTTAATCGGTTTTTTTTTAGAAAAATATGAGTCGGATTGAATTCGGTCGTGGTTTTAGAGAATAAGCTCGAATTTGGTTGGATTTAGGATAAAAAAATATACATACATATCCAACTTGAAAATAATGTAATTGTACCTTATATGTTTAAGAATAATTACAATAATGACATTATTAAATTAAAAACTCCATATATTATTTTATTGGAAAAACAACCCCAAACAACATTAATTAAAAAAAATCCATAAATTATCCATGTAGGATGATATCGTGTTTTGTGAAAAGCGATGTCAGACCTCACGTTTTATAAAATTGAGGTCCATCAACTTTTCAGATAACTTTATTTAATTTTTAGGTAAATGACACAATAAATACATGAATATTGCTTTTCGAAAAACACGAGATCTGATCTCACTTTTCACAGAGTGCGAGATCATTCTACGTGGACAGTTTATGATATTTTTAAAAAAAAATATCATACGAACCCTCTTAGAAGCAAAATCGTGATTTTTTTTAAGTTTGGCCCCAAATTGTTGAGCCTCAAATTTTGGGACTGTGATGTGTCACATACCACACTTATAGATGGATGGGTTGTATGTATCATGTATGTATCAGTTGCAGATACACTAAACTCTCTAGGGGAGTAAGTGCATCCTCATTATTAAAAAAATTATAAAAATTAGTTTAATGGGTTAAAGTAGGAAAAAATATGAAAATTTGCATAATCAATATTATTTTTTAAAAGGTGTATTAGATTTAGACCTACTAGGAGGACTCCCCTACCTTCTTCTACAGTTCATTTCTCCTCCTCTCTAGGTAGGATTGGAATTAGGATTAGGATACATGTATACGTATGTATGTATTGAAGAAGACACATATCTATCTTAAAATCCGAATTTCTTAATGTTAGTTATCAATTTTATTGACGATGTTGATTATAAAGTTTTATTTGTGACCACTTATGCAAAAACTTTTTTATTATTAATATATATTTACCCATTTTAAAAGTATTTTTAATATGTCACTGTCGGTACGTGATTTTGTTGTGGGATTTCTCAGGTTTCGAAAGGGGTTACGAAGATGCCAAAAGAGTTATCACCTGGTGCATGGGGCCTGATAACAAGGATACTTGATCCGAACCCTGAAACCAGGATAACAATGGCGGATATCAAAGCTGATGAATGGTTCAAGCAAGATTATACACCTGCTGTACATTACGATGAGGAAGACGATATATACATCGATGAAGAAGCCTTCTCCATGTCTGAAATGGTATGAAACATCAACAACAACAAAATTTTTCATCTTTTGATTCCATAATTTGCAGAACTTCAACGTAAAACTGATGGGAGTAAAACATATCATTTGATGAAGGGATCCGACGGAACCGAAGCACCCCCTCGTATTAATGCTTTTCAGTTGATAGGAATGTCCTCGTCCCTGGACCTATCTGGCTTCTTTGAACAATAGGTGAGACCATCCATCCATCCATCCATGCATGAATACATACATACATACATGCATACATACTGATTGACAAGTTATATGTGCATGCAGGATGCATCTGAAAGGAAGGTCAGATTCACATCCAATCATTCGGCTAAGAACTTGCTTGCAAGGATCAAAGATACTGTAACAGAGAAGGGATTTCGAGTCCAAACGAAAAATGGAAGGGTTAGTACACTCTGTGGCAATATATATATATATATATGTATGTATGGTGCTCAACTTGTAATGCTTCTTCTATTTTCAGCTGAAAGCAACACAGGAACAGAATGGCCAGACATGTCTCGGCAGTCGTCTTTCCATTACAGCCGAGGTAATTTTCGAGTTGGTATCGAATCGAAACGTGTGCTCTTCGAGCAGATTTATCACTAATTTGATGATTCTGTAACTCTTTCAGGTGTTTGAGATAAGCTCGTCCTTGCATGTGGTTG